AATTTGTCTGAAGAAAAAAAAACCCACCCCGAGCATAAATATTCCGTTACTTTCGTATCAAAAGTCGGAACAATAAGGATGTTGTTTGAATGAAAATAAATTAAAACAGAAAAAATATATCTTCTGAAATTTGTTTTCTTCAATTTAATCCTACTCACGCTTTTGTCAACTAAAATAAAAAGTATTTAGCGTCTCTCCTAATCAAAAATTATTTGCTTCATTTGATTTTGGAACGCTGGAATCCGCCGCGTGTTATAAGAACGCAATATATTGCTCGTTAATTATCAAAAATTAAATCACCAGAGATAATATTTTTAACAATTTAGCTTCGAATAGCAATATTTTTTCAGATGGTTTAAAAACTGCTATCAAAGTTACATTAAAAACCATAACTTTACTCAATAAAAAAACACCTCCGGCATAAATATACCGCTTTTTTTTTTAAAAATTGGAAGAAAACATCAATTTTTGTTAAAGATTTTTAGACGAATTTAGACTTTTTAACTAGCCATTTTTGACGAATTTTTTTTTATATCATTCAAAAGGTATTGTTGTTCTGAGCTTAAACTTGAAAATTTTTTCACTTGTGATTATTTTCTGTAATGTTATGGGAGTTTAAACATTGCCATTTTGGCCAATCAGGGACAATTATAAGTCGCGCTATTAAAGCGTAAGCGGAGATTTAATCCGCCTTAGAAATTGTTCCAAATTAGTTGAAAGAAGCTAATTCGCCATAATTGATTTGTTACAAGGAGCAAAATCTATTGTTTTGTACTTTATATGGCGTGTGGGGGGATGATTTACATGGATAAAAATTCAAGTTTATTTTAAATAATTTAGTTTTTTATGTTGTTCATGATATTACTGCTCCATAAACCTTAAAGACAGTCGCAACATTCAGGGCTTCTTGTTTGTTTTTATCGCTGTTAATGCTACATAGCACTTACGTTTAGTGTAGAATCAGTATAGTTGCTTAGTAATACCAGCTATATAGCCCAGCGTATACTTAGTGCGTTCCGGGGAGTTCGGCGTGTGTTAGATTCTCACCTAAGTCGTTTCATTTGAGAATCCTATTTGAGCCGGACCTGACAGAACATAAAATGCTACTATTTTAATCGGTTCAATATTGGTTTGCAATTGAGTTTCTGTTATTTCAACCGCGTGAACTAAATTTGATTTTAAAGCAAAAATTATAAATCAGCGCATGATCAACCCCACTATTTTGGCTTGATACCTTTTATGAAGTCACCATATTTTGACCACATTTCGTGAATTTAAAACCGATTCTGTTTTTTTTAGTTTATAAATTCAGCAGAATATTTTGGTGCCGCGACTCGGGAATTTATCCATTCGTCGAATACATTTCATACTCGGAACTGTTTTGTCGACTCAAACCAGGTCGTGAGGACTCGGGAACTTGTCCATTCGTCGAATACATTTCAAACTCGGAACTGTTTTATCGACTCGAACCAGGTCGTGAGGACTCGGGAAGGAAACAAAAGCCGAACCAAACCGATAGCCCAATTAGCCGAACGACCACATGACCGGCAACAGCGAATCAGCCAAAACCAAGGCAGAAAATTGTGTTGTTGTTTCTGCATCCAAATCCGGTTTCCATCTCACCAAAAACTTGAAAAACCGAACCTTTTTTGTCCGTTTCTCAACCCAGTTATGCTATAATCTGACCTGTGAGTGCTATGATTCGTAGTTTTTTGTCATTATTAGGATTTACTAGATTTCAAATTTTGCTGTAAATTACATACGATGTTGTTAATTACAAACCGATTAAGACCGTACTAGATACCTAATCCTAGTTCATACCCAGTACCCTAGTACCCCAGGAGAGTCTTGAACCCAATAATTACGTGATAAGAAAAATTCCAGACAATTTTCCAAAAACTGTTCGCAAAAAATTTTTCAAAAAATAAAAAAAAATTTACTCGAAAAAAAAATTATACCCAAAATAATTTTTCCCAAAATTTTCACTGACAAAAAAAATGTTTCTTGCACGAACTTAGAGCAAAGCCGGATAACCGTTTAAACCGTCAATCGTGTAGAGCAAGTTTTTTGAGTGAATCCCTACCTTGATTTCCTCCAGTGGTTGAATAATCTTTAAAAATTTGCTCGCCTCGCCCCGTTTTCGGCCGCATACCGCCGCGACCGTTACTACTACCGTTTCGCCGTAACGTCGAAAAGTTTAACCGATAAATTGTACGCGCTAACTTAAATCGTACTGAACCGAAGCCATAGTAGAACCTTACAAACCTCAGCTAATGGTTTCTAAAGTTTTTATCGTCATAATTTTTTTTCATTTCTTTGTGTCGACTTCACAACAACAGACTCTTTAAAGTGTTTGCAATATAACAACCAAATCACTTATCACTCTCAATGGTGTTCATCATTGCTGCAAATTCTCTCTATCACTCCGTAAATACATTACCATTAACTCTGCAAAAACGCCTCGACGGCACTTTTAAAGAAGTTCCATGTTTAATCTTTAATTTGAAAACAAATAATCGACAAAAGACTGTTCAATATAGTTTAAGCAACTTCCCAAAAAGTATGATAGAGAAAAACATTATAATTTGGCATCACTCCGTAAATACATTACCATTAACTCTGCAAAAACGCCTCGACGACACTTTTAAGGAAGTTCCATGTTTAATCTTTAATTTGTAAACAAATAATCGATAAAAGACTGTTCAATATAGTTTAAGCAACTTCCCAAAAAATATGATAGAGAAAAACATTATAGTTTGGCACAATGTTAGAAATAACTCATTAAGCAAGCATAGATCAAACAACGATAACCCACTTACACCAGAAAATCTAATTGAAATTTTAAAAGAATATAAAAACAAAATATCAGCAATTATTTACGTACACCGTCAAAACGCCCCCAATATTTATGGACGTTTGGTTGAAACAGGAATTTTAACTATTGATCTGACAAAACAATTAATCTCAAAAAAAAGCTAACGACAAAGAATTAATTCGTAAGCTTGAATTAATTCATCCCCCGGCGTTTTTAGAAATAAAAAGTTTGAGAATCATTCGACGTTATATCCCATATCTGTCTGAGCTTATCAATGAAGTTGTCGACCAATTTCAACAAAAAGAAAAGCAGATAGGCAGAAGATATCACAAATGACAACAGTCGACGAATATTTAACATTTGTTAGGCATTATAAATCTTGATTTGTTGTTTTCATTAGTTAAATTTATCTTTAAGTTCAATCTTGTAGTTTGTTGTCTTTCTCTTCCGTAGGCAACGAGCTTGGTAGGAGTCTTGCGAGCATCCTCTCGTTCGGTATACGATGCGGCTACTTGAATTGGTTTTAGTTTGATTCCGTCAATCGACACTACATTTTTTTGCTTTTATATAAAAACAAAACAAAAAACAAATTTTTCAAAATCGAGCTTGATCTCGGCCAGAAGCTGAGCAAAATTTATCTTGCAAGGAAAGAATTGGAAACAAATCTTTTCGAATACCATGCCAAAATTACGGAATCTATAACTGCGAATGATAGACCAGCTAAAATTGAAACATGCATCGAGAAATCTAGCATTTGCTTCCAAAAAATTATAGAGAAAAATGATGAGCTTAAATCATTGTCTTTGAACAACAACAACGCTGCTGAAACCAAAAATCAACTTAAGTTTTACCTAGGATCTATCACTGCAAAAATGACGATATATTAGGTCTAGCTAAAAGTACTTTCAAGTTAAAACTCAAAAGGACCAGGTAGCAACTGCACGAACCCCGACGCCAAGCGAATCCGTCCGTTCCAAGAAACTCCTTTCACAGCGTTCTAAGATTGCATCAATGAATTCGAGTGAGCGTCAAATAGAGGAAGCCTTTGCAAAATTTAGAGGCGAGGAAGTTGAACGCCAGGCAGAGGCTAAGCTTCGTTTGAAGAAGCAACAGATCCAGATTCAGTCGATGAAGGGTCAACTTGAATTTGATGTGGTTGTAGAGAAAAGCCGTCAAAAGCTAGCCAAAGCAACTATCGAAGAGGCTGAATATCTGGAAGACGCCTCTGAAATCTGTAGACTTCGTCGTTGCAGTTCGAAATTGGCAATGGCCGTTCAGGAGAACCACACAGAGGAAGACCGGACAAGAAGTTGAGTGAACACTCAATTCGCAGCTCAGGAAGTAGTTCAGCCCGAGGTGCCAGTCCAAAGTGTCAACCTGGAACCTGCTTCCGAATTTTTGTAATTTTCAAGTATTGAACCGCCTTTCAGTAGAAATCTGACGATTATTCACAACTCTCAACCGTGTCATAGAAAAAAAGTCAAATTTATTTTATTTTTTTAAATTTTTTATGTTTTACATAATATTACTGCTCCATTAACCTTAAAGGCAGTCGGAAAATTCAGGGCTTCACCCTGATACGCGTAGTCTCGTTTGTTTTTATCGCAGATTTTGATGTCAAAAAAATTCTAGTTTATGAATCGTTAAAATTTTCAGAGATTTAATCTCTTTTGACTCAACAGAACTATGCTAAAAAATTGAGTTTAGTCTTGATAAGTCTTTGAACACAAAGAAATTGAAAAACTTTCAGCCGAAAACAAGGCAGAAAAAAACATAATACTTCGTCAATTTAAAAGCAATTTTTTTTCGCTTTAGGTAGTTTTTCACTTTACTCAAAGTGTTTTTGTTTTTTTTTGTTTTTGTTAGTATTTTTTTCTGATATTGATTGTGTTGTTTTGCCGCAAAGGCAAAACTGTACGCTTAAAAGGAATTGTATTAAAATGGAATCAAAATAAATTGACCAAAATGGTTTAAAATTGATTTAGAGAACCGATTGAAATAGATTTGTATCAAGTTTTTTTAGGTATTTGCCGCATTATCTGTATAAACTTGAATGCAATCCCTTTCTTTTCAGTATGAAAAACATACTATATCCTTGAGAATTCTCACGTCTCATCAAAAAATTGATGATGTGTTCTACAGCACATCTATTTTTTACGTGAATGAAAATGCACGTGCTTCAGACCTATTTTACCGCAAATTATTACTGCTAGAATAAAACGCACTGATAATCTCAACGTAAAAATTAATTTAACGAGTTAAGTTTTCTGCTGCTACATTCGTTTGATACAAAAATAATTTGAATAATTTATTTTTTTAATATTGAATGGCGTTAAAAAAGTAATTGCGAGAGAACTTTTGGTTTATTGTATTTTTCATGGTTTTACATGAGAAAAACTGTTTTCTGCCTTATTTTTTCCTTCATCGGGCTCTATTCAAAATTTATCAATTTTGATTTTAAGATCAATTGTGAAAAAAAAAATTGGCCTGTGTAAAACTTGATTTGAGAATCTTAGTTTTAAAAAATTCAATTGTTCTTAAATCTTCTATAAACTCAAACCATTATACTTCCTAGACTTCTCTATTCAGTCTATAAAGCGTCTCCACATCTGTATATTCAAGTATGCCCATTGAACGGGTCCCGATAGTGCACAAGTTTGGCATCATCTCCCAGTCGCACCGGCTAGAGATCCAGGAGAGGATACTAGCAGAGGCCAAACAGGCCAAAGAAAGGAAAAAACAAGGAGGAGCAGTCACCTACAAATCCACCAGACCTTCCTAGTAAGAATATTGAGTAGGAAACGAGTTTTTAATTGCCTTGCAAGTATCGCAAATGTTACGACGCGTTTTCGTTAATTTATTTCTCGATAAATTTCAAAAATGTAAATAAAATAAGAAAACTAAATTTTTGATTGGATGGTTTTATAACATCAATTTGCTAGTTTTACCATGGGAGATTCGCATATGTTAAATTTTGTTTTAATGGAGCAAGGACTACAAATTTTGCAAGGTTCTTGCGAAAAAGGCAATATTTTTTTCAGAACCCTGCAAACTTTGAATTTTTCATTTTGTTCTTCTGAAAGCCAAAACATTGGAAAAAAATGTGCAAGAATTATGCAATTTTTTAATGAATCTCAGTTCCCTGATATAATTGGGAACTCATGTCTGTGCGGGGGATCTCGATAGGGGATTTTCGACAGATTTTGGGCACTTTTGGAAACTTTTGACCAAAGTATTGCCTCTTCCCATCAAACATATTAGCGACAAAGACAACTTGAGAAAAATTTCGGGATCGGTCGGCCAAAAATCGATGTTTTAAAACAGTACTCCCTCCTCTCCCCTAAATCTGCCCCTGTGACTGCATAAAAATAATAAACATAGATTTCAATTTTGAGAATGCACTTATAAGATTCAAAATTAATGTTAAGAATAAATTGAGAATTTCACCTCGAGCGACTTTTACTTTCTTTCTCAAGCATTATTTGTAATCTGAGAAACGGAAACTTTCATACCAACCTTTTGTCGAAACTAAAGTTAATTTTCTCATGGTTTTATTGATATCCCAACCACAACTGAATACACTTAATACGGTGCATGGAAAAAGTATGCTCTTTCCCATTTCGTCATTCATTACTAGGCAAAAGTGCAGAAAATTGTGCAAAATCAATTTCTCCTGTGGCATTCAAAACAACGATGGCAATGCCATAACGCGGAATCCACGACACAGTCATTTTTTTGATGTTCCTTCGAACCATTACAATTCAGAAAGTACATCACCTACAACAGCTGATTAGCTTTTCATCAGGAATTTTACGAGGTAAATCATATAATGGTAATGACTGAAGGTGAGCAATAACCAAAACTGATCTATAAAAATCACTTAGTGGAGAAACCAGAATTAAGGTCCTTAAAGTAAATATTACAAAATCGAAAAAATTTGTATAAAATAATTATTTAAATTGAGTAAAAATTAATTCAAAATCTTGTTTATAAAAAATGAAAAACAGCTCAAAGTGTAGCTTAAAATTACTATCTTATTCATTATTACTTTGTTTGAAGATCTATCTTTTAGAAACTGGATTTTTTATGCGCTTTTTCTAGGTAAATATCTGAAAGGTAGCTAAAACTTTGGTAGTGAAATCTTATACTTAATCTTATATCATTCAAAAGGTATTGTTGTCCTTAGCTTAAGTTTGAAAAGATATTTCACCTGTGATCATTTTTGGTAACGTTATGGGGGTTTAAGGATTGCCATTTTGGCAGATTTTGCACAATTAACGCGTGATATATTCACTGCATTCAAAAAAGATTATTGTCCTAGGCCTAACATTGAAAAGATATTTTACCTGCGTGTGATCATTTTTCGCGAAGTTATGGTAGTTCAATTATGGCCCATTTGGGTCAATTTACGCGCGATATACTTCGCGCTCTTAACGCGTAAGCGGAGATTTAATCCATCTTAGAAATCCTTCAAAATTGGTTGAAGGAAGCTTATTTGCCAAAATTGATATTTTACAAGTAGCGAAATCTATCATTTTGTATCTTATATAGCGTGTGGGGTGATGATTTTCAAAAAAAATCTAAACTTTTAGGTTTTTTTCATTTTGGTTTTATTACAATTGATTTTTTCCTGGGATTTTTTGCTCTTCAGACCTTTAATAAAGTGTTTTGTTAATCTACGACTTTTGTACAATTAATGTACAAAATACTTAAACAGACAAAAAACAGACAAAATAGAGTGTGTGAATTTAAAACGTTCTAAAACTAATATTGAATACACTCTACGATCGACCGATAGTCGTAACGAACAATGTTAACCGGTATTTGATTGATACCGAAGGTCATCTAGAACAGCTAGAAAAAACACAACATTTCCCACATGGAAAAAAAAGAAAACTACAATTTCACTGACTAATTCTATATAAACCCATTTTCCCCCTTCAAAGTAGGAAAGAGTTTTACAAACTGCGCCGAAAAATAGTACAGCAAGCAAAATAGCATCTACAAATGAAATTGGAAAAAACAAATGTACAGGGTGAACATACAGAATTTACCATTATACAGATGATAGGATAAAAACAAATTAACTAAAATAAAAAAAAACAGCAATAATTTACAAGATGTACGTTTAACATGAACAACGTCATCTACAATAAAAGGATCATTTAAGTGTGTATACTATAAAATGAAATAAAAGAAATTTTTTTTTCCAGTTTTAGGAAGATCAGTTAAGCTCTGCGTCAAAATCATCTAGTCTGGCTTTTACATCTGGGTCGATAGTCGATGATATGTCGCTAGTTTTCTCTACCTCGTCAATTGTGTTAAGGATGGTATGTTGTAGTGATAGGTAGGATCCGGATGTGGTATTTTTTAAAATTGACATAATCGGCGTGAAATTTGCTCTTTTCAATGGGCAGGATTTCTTTGAAGTCCAAGTCAACGTAGTCTCTGCGACCAGGGTAGGTATTGGTGGTGCCTCCGCTAATGGTGTTAACAGGTCCGAAGGTGAGGATATGAAGAATTTTGCCCTGGTTTGGTTGAGCACTGTAACTGACTCTGTAGTCCGGTTGTCTTTTTTCAACACCACATCTATAAATCGCCGATCTCCGAAGAAATTCGGGGGTCCAGCGTTCCTGCGAGGACTGGAGTGTCTTTTTGGGAAATCAATGGGGCCACACCTTCCGTTGTCCAACAAGATTGGATTGTTTTCCGAGCCTTCTATCTCAGCAGAGTCTGGCACTTCTATGATCGCTGGTTGGTCTGTGTTGACGGATAGGTTGGGTCTAATTTGAGGAGAGTGAGCATCACCTGTAACATTTAACCCTTGGTCAGACTCGGCTTGGTGGCTGGGAGGTAATATTGTTGGTCATGTCTATTAAAATAGTCTATTATTCCGTCCCAAGAGTTTAAGTTTAAAAAGGACGAAAAGCCTGAGGAAATATGAATGAGGTCTTGAGTGGTCTCTGCGTCTAATGGCGAATCGGACGTCTGAGTTGGCCTACCTGCTCCTGAGGTGCCTTACCTTAGCTGGAGGTTGTCTGTCACTATAGTCGTCTTTGCTGGAGGTAGATTCCTCTTTCTGGCTAAACAAGATTGTACAATGAAATTGTGCCCAATGGATGGTTGGTTCACCACAATTTTTTTGGTACCCGGGAGTATTCTTCCCTTAATAGACAAGTCCGATTTTCGTAAATTACGACAGTTATCGAGAGTTATTGTGTGATCGGATGAGTCATTGATGTCCTTCTTTACTAAGTTAAAATAAGGTTCACAGTTTTTTCTGTTGGTAGCCCTTCTATATAGTTCACCTCCAGCAACTAATTTCTTCGATGCTCTTGGGCCTCTGTTCTGGTTGTGACCCTCTTGTGTAAGTGTGCTCGGGATTGTTTGAGCTAGCGACAGGTTGTCTTGCGGTTCCGATGGACTGACCTTGTTCTCGTCAAGAAAAACGTCTTCCGCATCGTCGTGCAATTCCCAGTTTCTGGTCCGTCGGTTAGATAGAATCGATTTCCATTTATCTAAACGGTTATCAAAGGAATTCAGATTTTTCCATCTAGTGTTAGCCGTTATATTAAAGTGTTTCTCGTACGGAGTACAACCGATTGAAGCTTATTTTGTGATTCTATGATTCTAGATAATTTTTTTGATCGGGGAATTTAAAGAAGGTTTTGATAAATCAAATGATATTGCTAATAACTCAGACTTTATCGTATAGCCCATTATATCTATGATCGCCGACTGTTCAATAAATGATCTCGATGTTGTAGAAATTTTTAAAATTGTGTGATAAAAAGCGAGACCCATGGTCGACTCTAATCTTCCTTGGGAAGCCGTAAAGGTGACAATAGTCGTTTAAAAATGAAATAAACGTGTTTGAGGAAGTTTAATTTACTATCTTGGCCGATGGGAATTTACTGAATTAGTCAATACATAAGAGAATGTATTTTTGTGTTCCCCAAAATGCGTCCAAAGGTCCTGCAGAAATCCAGATTTATTTTTTCGTTAGCAAAAGTCAGGGTCGACAGTTTTATAATATTGTCGGTACCTTACAAAACTTTGAGGTTCTTACCAGCTTTCAGGCATTGACTATAAGACTTCCCGTGATGGTAAACCTCTCGGTAAATGTAAGGCCACCAAATGTTTTCCGCGAGAGACTTCACACCAAAATGGCCTGGATGGGTCTCGTGTAGCATTGCGCTAAAATTCCTCTGATAGTAAAATTTTCTATGAATGGCCATTGGTCGTTTTGTCTGCTTTGTCTAAATCAAGTCCCAAATCACTTTGTGTTCTCTCGTAATCAATTGTAGAAGTTTCTTAGAACAGTGATCTTTGGGGAATATCGGAGGAGTGGGTAAGTTTAAAGCTGCTTTGCAACTCTTGACTAGATTTGCATGGTCGTCTGGGAGATAGTCATCTTTAAATCTCAGGGCGATATTGTGTTCTTCAGGAATTATGAGTAAAGGGCCGGTAATATCCTCCATCTTCGTCATATCAGATTTCTTTTCTTTTTGAGGTATGAGTTGTTTATTTTCGAAAATGAAATGTAAAAAGACCTAGTCCAAGAAAGTGATGCTCCTAGTGTTTAACTTAGAATTATCGATAGGTAAACACTTGAAAGTACAATTTTCTGCTCGTATGTGGGAATTATAGCAAATTTTTATTGACTGAGCAATACAAGATAAAATAGCGTGAATAATTTTGAGTTTGAAGTTAGCTAAAGAGGTATTCTTGAGTCTTGACCAATCACATCGCCTGAACTTTCTACACCCGACGGGATACTACTGTTCACGAGTTTGTTAGTGTTTACAGCGACCGACGGTCTATCTACAAGTTTTGAACATAAAGAGTCAAAGTGTGCTCTATTAGATTAAATATTCTGAATTTTGTCGATTGAAGCGATTACAAATTCATCGTCGTAATGAGAAGGTGGGAGGGCTTTGCCCGAAGGTAAACTAGATAAAAGATCAGTAAAACCCATATAGTTTCCTGGGATATGAGAAATTTTAAAATTAAAAGGTAAAAATATGTTTACCAAACGGGTCAATCGGCTATGCATCGTCTTATTTCCGTGGTTTGTCGAAAGTGCACAGAGTAAGGCTGTGTGGTCCGTAACGATTTCGAATTCTGCACCGTAAAGGTAACTTCTCAAATGTTCTGAGGCTCACACCACACCCATTAAATCTAGTTCGTAAGTAGAGTACTTCATTTCAAAGTTATTTAAGAACCTTGAGGCGAAAGTAATTGTTTTTCACTGGCCCCCTTGTAATTGTTCTAGAGTTGTGCCTATTCCGCTATGCGAAGCATCCGTTTTTAACCTGGTTTTTTCTTTTATATCGAAGTGGCTGTTTTTTGTGATATATACGATTTCGGACTTTAGTTTTTCAAAGGCTGAGGAATGAACATTATCCCTTTTATAAATGGATTTTTTGTTCAACAGGGGACGTAGTGGGGAACTTAAAGCTGATAAATTCGGGACGAATTTCACATACTGATTTATCGAGCCGAAAAACTATCGCAATTCCGAAGTATTCTTGGGGATTGGTAAGTTCTTGATGGCATCTGCTTTACCGACCAACAGTCGTACTCCCTCACCTGAGATTTTGAAGCCTTTAGCCATTCTATTTCAGTTTTGAAAATTGCACATTTCCACCACTTCAACGCCACATTGTTGCTGTCCAGAATTGTTAAGATTTTATAGACTATTGCTTTATGTTCCTCCAGGGACCCCTTCGATGCTACCAGAATGTCGTCTATAAAACTGTTTATGAACGCAATGTTCTTTAAAAATGAGCCATGACCCGTTGGAGTTCATTGGACATGTCACCCGGTCCATAAAAACCAGTTAAAAATTTTCCGTTGTTTCACCGCCAACTATATTAAAATTACACAGTTTTTTTTACTGTTTTTTTTGCACAATTTACGTTTACTATAAGCGTTTTTCAGATCTAAGTCGCTGAACCAAACTTGTCCATTGGTTTTTTCTGAAATTTTGAGAGCCACGTTTTCTATGAGTTCATGAATATTTGGCATTTGTTATATGTTTTTTTTTAAATAAAACTGGTTGTTTAATAATTAAGAACCTAATGCCAATTTATTCGAGCCGTCTTTCTTCCGGGTAAAATCAACCGCGCTGACAGTACAATCTTCGTCACTTTTTGAAGTTTTACTATGTGACCTTCGGTCTCCATTCTTTTCAGTTTTTCATTTAACCCCGCAAGTAAGTGAAGAGGAACTCTTTTGCCTTTACCGGTTTAAGCGTTGAGTGAAAGTGTGTTACTTTGTGGTCAATAGGATTTTTACCCACTCTAGTGAATAGTTCTTTAAACTCGCTAAAATTTTTGTCGTTCGATGAATTCAGTTTTATACACTTACACCCAAATGGTGGTTGGTTGACCATGCAGTTTGGCTGGGGGAATTTCTTCTGTTTCACTTCGATGCCTAACATAGAAAAGTTGTCATTCCCGAGAAAGTTGCGTTCATGGCCTCCAGTTATAAAGATTGGAGTCTCTTCGCTGATCCACCAGTTGGATTGTGTCCTAACGATGATCTTTCCTAAGATGTTGACAGTGTCGTCAGTGAAACCACGATACAAGTCTTTAATCCGTTTTTGAACTGGGTAGATTTCCAGATTGGGGTATCTTTTTTTGAGCTTGTGCAACACGTTTTATTCCAAAAAGCTTACACGGGATATTCATGTTTACGATCATCTCCCATCCCCAGCCTATGTTTAGCAGTTTCTTGGTTTCCAGCCCGTTTTCATCATAAATCATTCTCACGCTAAGTACTGAGAAGTCGTCGACATCGCTCTGCCCGTATTCGTACCAGGCATTTATCACATTGCAAGATTCTTGATTTTCGCCTCACGAGCTTTCCGGAGAGACGTATGTACTATTCTCAGTATTTACATAGTTATCATTGACAGTTTTTACAGTGGGTCGTTTGTTACGAGATTTATATATTATGGCGAAGTTTCCTTTGTAATTACAATTTTTACATGTTATATCCTTTGCTGGGCATACGTTCAGGTGTCTTCTCGTAAATGGGTTCCCACATTTCATGCAAGCGGTTCTTCTTTCTATGTTGAGACTTGGTTCCTTCTTGATCTGACTGTGATTGTTAAAAGATTTAAAAGTTTGCCCATTGCTCGACGATCGTGCCATTTTGGTCAGTTTTTTGTGGTTAAAATCTCTTTTTTCATCGATCAAGGCCTGGTTGAGTGCTTCTCTTGGACTTATCGTGACTGATAGAAGTTTCCTTTGGGTGTATGTGTTTCTCAGTTTACAAATGAAAACATATCTTATTCATTCGGCTTTCGTCGGTCTCTCTTATGTTACAAATACTCACCGAGTCCGTTAGTGCTCCCCAGAACTGTTCATATGATTCCCGAGCTTTCTGTTTGCGGTTTAGTAATTTATACCTCTCGAACGTTGTGTTAGGCGGTTGTGTTAGGCTGCGTCAAGTAACGTCCAGAACTCTGCGAACGAGAACGCTAAAATCTTGCCCCTTGGGTTCTTTTGAGTGAAGACCCTTTTTTCTTTGCTCCCTTGAGCTAAAAATAAGATTGGACGCAGTTTCTTATCCGCTTCCGTCCGTCTCATTCCGTTGAATTTTCTTTTCTCTTAATTGATCAGCTTTTCCTCGGCTGCTTCGTATTGTTTCATTGCGTTCTCATTGCTCGTCTCTCTTCTGGCTCTGTCCATGTCCGATTCGGTTCTTGTTACTTGTTTCAAGATGAGGATTTGCGTTTTTGGTACTTCCGGTCTGTTTAGGCTCTCTATGTCCAAAGTTTTTTTGCAATTATCGCCAATTGAAATTGGTCGCTCCATTGGGTCCAGGAATGGGGTGGCTCTAGAGTGTGGTTTGGCCAGAAGGGGGGATTCCACACACGTTCGAATCATTAGACTGCGCCATAATAAAGTGTTCTGTTAATCTACGACTTATGTACAACTAATGTACAAAGTACTTAAAAAGATAAAACAGATAAAAAATAGAGTGTGTGAATTTAAAACGTTCTAAAACTAATACTGAACGTACACTTTACGATCGACCGATAGTCGTATCGAACAAGATTAACCGGTATTTAATTAATACCGAAGGTAGTTTAGAACAGCTAAAAACAAATTAAAACAACCTTGAAAGGCAGTCGGAACATTCGGGGCTTCGCCCTGATACGAGCAGTCTTGTTGTTTTTTTTAATTTTGTTTAATCTGTCTATAATGTTTAAATGAATCTCCTGCGCTTCTGTCTTTCTCAATCTCACGTTTTGATTACTGATAATTGTTGTAATCTTTAAAGGGCTCAAGAACTGATAGTCGCCCACCATTTTTTTTAAAAATTAATTTAAGCGAGTAAATACGAGGTTTTTGTTTTTCCAGAGACAGATAGGAATTCGTTTTCTATAAAAATCCACTGATAAACAATTTTAACGTTGGCGCGGAATCCACAACCTCTAATAGCTATTAGTTAAATATTCAGTCAGTTATAGGCAAAAAATCTAATAAATTGGGTTCTCTAGAAATCCGCTGCTCAACGGTTTGACAATTTTGCACTTTAACCTAAATTCTGATTTTATCAAGTCTTTCAAATCGGAATCTCTGAACAGAACTGCTGAGCAAAAGGAGAGGAACTCTTCGTTAAAACAGTCGGGACAAATTATCAAAACACTTGTTTTCTGATTTATGTACTCGATCTTTTTAACTAACCGCTTAGCTACGCAATCCCATTCAGACAAACAAAGAACGTGTACAGTTTTCAGGGCGAGCAGTATTTAGGAGGCTTTTTTTGTTATCATGCTTTTTCATGCACAAAAAAAACGAATTTTAATCTTTTTAGTTTGCTGGGTGAAATCAGCGAGGAATTTGTGCGCAACTTCAAATACGAGAAAGACTTGAAGAACATCTCTAGGTTGGAGACACAGGCCGAAGATATTCTAAACAGAATCAAGGTAGGGAGGAATAGCTAGTTCCGATTGTAGCCACTGAGCAAGCCTTTGTTCAATTCTGAAGAACAGGCGAAAATTTACAGAAAACTTTCAAAAAATTACACACGAAGAAATTCAGATTTTTAGATTTTTCTATGCATTATAGTTGTCAAAACTAATACATGAACTATATTCAAAATGACCACCTAGTGTAACATATCACCGATATTAAATCCAGACATGTTATCATCGTTGAGCTGTTTGAGTACCTCTGGAAATTCACAAAAAGCGTTAATCACCATTGGAGGAAACGTAGAAAGTTACAAAGGAAGAAATACAGATTTTAAATGAAAACTAAACATGTGTTGCAATTGAGTAATTACTACTCAGGATGACTGGCTGCTACTCAGGATCGAGCAATATGAACATAAGTTTCACAGCTGAGAGCCGGTAAAAGAACCGAAGCTAAATATTGCAAGGCAAGTGGTTGTATCCCAAAAATGTATTAAAAGACAGGTCTTTAAAGATGGTATTGGGATACTGCCACTTGCTTTTCCCTATCTAATGGCTTCTCCAGTTGGAAGAGCTCGACATTACAATACCTGAATTTGAGTTTTTACCGCCCGGGTCGAGATCCCGCTCAAAAACCGCTCAAGATATGGGCGGTTTGAGCGGTTTTCCAGCAAGATTTGGAAAAACCGCTCAAACCGCGCAAATCTTGCCTAAGAAACCGCTCAAAAACCGCTCATTTCTTGCGGTGATTTTTGAACGGTTTTTCAAGCAATATTTGAGCGGTTTTTGAGCCGTCTTATAAAGAAAACCGATTAAAACCAATAAAAAGGCCTGGAAAGGTAATGTGACGCTAAGATGCAGTTGAAATACTTCCCGGGTTGACCTCCCTAAACCGAAAATGCTCATCTTACATTTCCCCACACCGAAAATGCTTATCTTACAACTTCCTGCATCAAAAATATTGAAAAATGCTAATCAAACAACTTTCATATAATTTCAAAAAAAAACATTGAAAAAAGATTCAATACAGTTTCTCCGGTTATTTGAACCAAATAAAACAGTCTGGTAATGAAAAATAACTACGTTTATTTTTAAAAAAAAATGGTTATCCTACAGTTTCTATATATGAAAATTGTATGATAACCCTTTTTTCATGAAAGTAAGATTTTCAGAAACTTGTTAAAACTTGTTTATAAACAAACTTAACTTATTTAAGAGTGCTTTTGCTCAATTTAAAGCAAATTGCTCATCAAAAACGAAAATTTAGTTTGAGGATAATAAAATGGTTATCATACAATTTCCATTTATAAAAATTGTATGATAACCATTTTTTCATAGAAGGCAAGATGTTCAGAAACATGTTAAATCTTGTTTTTAATCAAATTTAAAGTAATTAACAGTGCTCAATCCGCGCATTTTGAAGCAAGATTTTGAGCGTAATTGTCTAAAAAAAACGCTCAAACCGCTCAAATCTTGCTTCAAATTAGGTGAAAAATCTCGACTCGGGCGTATTAAAACTCCAGTTAAGTAAGATTTTTAAGCTTTCAGTGAGGAACAGAGCAAAAATGCGTCAATCAATGAGTTTTTGGATTGCATCTATGCGAGATTTTAATGGAGTTATAGTGTTTCTTTCTATAATATGTCCAAGGAATTTTACTCGTGTTAGAAAAAAGTGTGAATCATCTGGAGCTGCTTTCATTTTTTCTTGTAGTAATATTTGATGATTTTTTCTAAGACAGTAAAGATTTCGTCTTTTGTTTGTGATTGCATAAAAACATCGTCTAAATACGTGATTGCAATTTATTGAGTATTAGTGGTCTGAAAATTTTACTCTTAAATGCTGAAAATGCTGCTGGTCCTAAAGAAATTCCATAGAATAATCTGTTGAATTCGTATTGTTGATTTCCAATAACGAATTGTGTTAATCGACTTGGTTGTTCATCTAGCGGCATTTGATTAAATGCACTATTCATATCTGCTGTTGTGAAATATTTACCGTTTATTTTTGTGAAAATTACTTGTATTGGTTCGATAGGCCAAAATACATTTAGATTCATCAATTAGTGAATTGAGGTATCTTGCATCTAGAACTATTTTTAATGAGTCTCCTTTTGCCACGATGATAACGGGGTTTTTGAAGGGGTTACCTTTTGGCTGTTCTTCTGTATTTACTGGAGAGATGATTTCATACTGTTCAAGTAACCGGTTAACTTTGTTCTGCAAGTGATTTGGGATTTTTCATGCTCGTTGCTTTTCGAAAACTGCGTCAGGTTTTAGGGCTAAATGTAATGGTGAGTTTACTTTTCCAACATCAAATTTTGATGTTGCGTAAACTTTTGTGCATTTTAATAATAAGTCAGCTAATTGTTTGAATTCTTCTTGTGTTATCTGAGAGTGTTGAAAAATTAAACAATGTTAGGAATTTTTGTTGTTCTTCCGTGTATTTTGATATTTGAAATGTTGGTCTAAAATAGGGTGTTTTTTATCTAATAGTTGTAAAATGCTTTTTACTCTATACGCTGTTTTTTTGTGGGAGAAATTGTTGCGTTAGTTTCACAATAACCTAAAAGTCCTAGAGGTTGAGTTTTTCATGTGTTTGTTAGATGAAATTGTTACCCAGAGAAATTTATGAATTGGTCTGAATTCAAGGTCAGACATAAAGAGAAATTTTTTTTTAACCTTTATCATATTGGTGAACTTGTTTGATTGAGAAGTTATACACATTCCTTATAAAGAAAAATGGTGGTTGTTTGTTTATTTTAAAAAAAATTTCAAAGCTGTGTTTTTCATTCTTGTAAATTTATCTTTTATTTGAATTCCACTATTTAAGATATTTATTATTGGCATATAATTAGTAATAAATGGTATTCCAATAATATTTTGTTTTATATCAGTGATGTGGAAAGTTTGCCTAAATGTTTTGCTCATGAGTTTGATTTGTCCCATTGTTCGAGTGGGAACAAGGAAAAGTTGGATTTTTCCATAATTTGTTAAGGTTGATCCATGTGCGGTTGCTAGTCTGCTTGTTGTTTTGAAGGGTTTTAGTTTTGGCTGTAGAATTTTTATTCCAAGTGGGAATGTTGATGAAATTTGATTCTGCTCTGGAATCTATCAAAAAATCTATTTCAAGGTCTGGTGTTTGCAATTGTTTGGATTTCGGACTTTCTAAAAGAAGTGGGATTGTCCATATTTTTTCCTTTTGTACCTATGTTCGTTAGGTATGTTTTGATAAATCTTATTTGTGCTTTAGCATTCTGTGGGTTTTTGTTCTGTTATTTCTTCTACTATTTTTTCAATTTTTTCCTTTGTTGTCTTATTGGATATAGGTCTTGTATAATAACTTAAAACAAGTTGATCATGGTTTTGGTATATATGAGAATATATCGGTAGTTCATATTTAATAGGTTCATAGTCAATTTCAACATTTATCATATTAATTCAAACTGTGTTTTCTGTGTCACTTTCGCTATCTGTGGATTCGCAATTGAAGTGGGGTCGTCTGGTTGAGTTTGTGCAGTTGATTTGTACCTGATTTATTTGTCTTTGATGTTTAGGTGTACTACTCCTATAAATTTGTTGTGAATTTTGATAACGTGTTTTAATCCCATGTGGTGACTGAAAGTAGTTCTTTTGTCTGTTGTTATAGCTTGAAATTCTGTTCTGGGAACTGTCGTGTGATCTTTTTTTTATAATTGTTATATTTTGATATCTAGGGTTTCGATTGTATGAGTAGTTTCTATTCCGATCGTTGGAATAATTTCTATATCGATTGTATGAAGAGTTTCTAGATCGATTATTTGAATAATTTAAAATTCTAGAAAGAATTTGAATGGGAACTGGCATCAAACGAAATTGCAGGTTGGTTTGAATTTGATCTTGAAAAATTATTTCGATTTTGACTATTTCGACTATGTCATCGACTATATCTGTTTTGTGAGAAATTTCGTGAATTTCTTTGGTATGGTGATTGACCTCTATAATTCGTATTATAGGGTGATTGTTGTCTAGAGTAATTGGAGTAATTTGGAAGTGGTTTTCATGAATTATTTCTACTATGAATGTTTTTGTTGGGTAAATTTTGATCTTTCTTCATGTATTGGTGAAATGATTTGTTAGGTTTTCTGAATTTTGTGGTTTATTTTTGTTATCTTATTGTTTTTGTCTGCATTCAGCAAGGCTGTGTCCGTATCGTCGACAATAATCGCACCATTTTTTGAATGATTGTTTGCCTTTAAATTTGGGTTTTTCTCGTAAATATTCAAAATTTCAGTAATTTTTTTGGATAATTCTGTATCAGAGTTGTTGATATTGTTTATATGTGAAGTAGTAATTTGAAATATGCTCGCTCTAATATCCAAAAATGTATAAAACGGTTCGGCAAATAATTGTTTTATTTCGTAGTATTCTCGGCAATACATTCATTCATCGTCATTAATTTAAAAGCCAACATTTCACACAACTCACTTTCATAATTTACCAATCCACAGTTTCAATAAACAAATTGGTGCAAGCTAGCCACAAGAACCGGTCGGTAATATCCTTGAGACAAATTGCTCTTTTTGGCGGTCAGCCTTTATCAAGGCTGAACCGAATTAGAACCAAAAAACAGCTAAAATAGGATATAACCCCCGTTTTTAGTATATTAATACATGGGCAGGTGGGGGACTCGAACCTATATCAACTGTTATGTTACGTTACTTTGTCTAAGTCCGCTTGGCCAACTGTGCTTATTTTATATACATCTATACTCTTGTTTCATATGCATCTATACTCTACATTTGCATTGCAACATCCTTCCCCCCCCCCTGAAGAAGGAAGAACCGGAGCGAGCTTAACGGTCGGCCGCGTGACTTCACGGGTTGTGGTCCTGACAAGGGCGGATCGGGCGCAACCGTCCTGTCCGTAGTTTAGCTTGGCGATTCGGGCGAGAGGGTAGTAACCACGCGGACTATCGGGCTCAATCGTCCACACGAGATCGCCTGTTTTAAGAGTGAAGTCAGAATGAGTGTGCC